ATCATAACTATTATGCCTCCTCCTTTATGTTTATTACACCAATTGGTATCCTATCCTTGTATCTTCCAGTGTTTGGATTTTTCTATGGTGATTTGTGTTTTTGGAATTTTTTGATGTCAATTTTTTCTCTATACAGTATGCCAGCCAGGTTGCTCTTTTGGTTGTGTTATTGAATCTCCTTACATTGTATGTTGCTATCTTCCATATCTCCCACATTCTTTTTGCTATTAGGGAAATTGGTATTGTATTGCTCTGGATGTTTGAGTGTGGTGTGAATTGTAAGTATGGATGTGGTTTATGTGTTGCCTGTTGTTGTTGTAATTCTTCGTTAGTTGGTTGAAATGGCTATATGTACGCTTTAGTTTCTACTATAATGTTGTATTGTTGTTGTTGGTATGTGGCATTAATTTGTGTATATCTTTGTTTGAGTATGTATCTTTCTCTGGATAGTTATTTATTGAGTTGTAAAGATTTGATAAGTTATCTGAGATGTCTTGCACACTGACATTTGTACTTTGATTGTTTTCTATTAATATCGATTGGTTATGATATTTGTGTTTCCAGGTATTAGATTGTGGATGGTGCCCATTATGTTGTTTATTGTCTAGTTCGTGTTTTCAATGATTATGTGAATCTGTTTCTGCAGTGCTTATAAGTCTTGGATTTTGTTGCTGTTTGTGAATCTATTTTCTTGATTGTTTTTTAAGGGAGTACTGTTTTCTTGTGAATCAAGAGTGGATTCTGTTTCTTCCATGGCTCCTACTTCATTCTCATAATAATATTCCAAGTTTGTGATTCTCTCATCCATTTCAATCATTTGTTATTTTACTTCTGTTATGTCCTACTATAGTTTCTTGAAAATGTTGAGAATTTCTTGTAAGTTGGCAGATGCGACTTCATCATTTTATGTATTCATTGATGTTTTGACTGCTGTAACATATAAGCCAGGTTTTGCTTTTCTGTATTGCTATTGCATTGGAATGTATTTTCTGATCTCATTTGTTTTGGCTGGTCGATATTTCTTATACAATTATCCAAATTTGTTGCTTGTTCTTGATTGTATATTTGCCAGTGATTTTTTCTTTCTTTGATAGGGCATGTGGCTGCAAGGTGTGTGTTATTGTCACAAATTGCACACAGTTTAGTGTCTATCTGTGTCCATTTTAGGAGTGTTTCTTCAATTGAGTATACTTCTCCTGTAACTTTCTATAGATCTCTTCCATTTTGAAGTTGATAATGGCAAATCTTTTTCTTTGATATGTTTCTCTACGTGAAATATAGTATATTTTTGCCTTAACCAATTGTAATATATTGTATAGGTCAAATGCTATTGTATTGGGGGGAAGGTCTGTAAGCTTTGTTGCTATTTGTCCCCTTTGTTTCATTTGTGGCAAGTCCCATTGTGCATCAAAGACCCAGACCATGTCTGCTTTGAAAGGAACACTCCACATGACTGTTATCCGATCTTTATTGATCTTATCCATGTAGGTGATTATTGATGTTTGCCATATTTGTTGTGTACTCATGGCTATTCCTGTGATTTGTCCATATTTGGCAAATATTTGTTATACCTCTATGTATTTGATATTCAGGGGAATGTCCCATACTTTGATACTGTTTTCCTTTTTAATACTTGGATCGATCATTGGCATGTGTTGCAGATACTTGTTCTCCAAATCTGGAAGTTTGATAGTGCATGCGTGTTCTGCTGCTTGGTGATCACTAAAAATGGCTATGATCTGCTCTTGGTCATTCTTTCCTTCATTATGGATTGCAAGAAGCCCTTCTGGGCATTCAAGTGCCTTGGTAAGGTATTGAATTTTCTGGTTTGTATTCTTTCCAGGAATTATAGTAGCCTTGATACCAACTTTACTTCTTTGTTTGCTGTATCTGCTTCTTCTGTTATAAGAAGAGCATGGTCTAGGTTTACTTCACTGATATGTTGATTGTTTGCCTTTGCCTTTGCCTTTGTTATATATTAACCATTCTTTGTTTTCTGCTGATGTCTTCCAGTTGTTGTTTTTTGCATCTGTTTTCTCCATTTCTGCATTTGAATCATTGATTCTGACATATTTACTGGTTTCTTGTTACATTTGTTGTCCTTTTGCGAATGTTTCTGCTGCTACTCTTTCTATCTCGTCACTTTATAGCTTTTTGTCTTTGGGTTTTTGAGTTGTCTTCTTGGGGTTCTGAATTGTTAGGATTGAATCAGTTATCTCTACGATTGCTGTTTTGACTGTGCTGTTGTTGGCTGTTTCCATTTCTTCATTTTTTTTGTTATTGTTTCTTTGCTGGTTTTTGTACTGTATATGGAGTTGTTTCTTTGCTCTTCTGACTGACCCTGCCTTTGCTGAGATCGTTGATATTGTAGTTGGGTCTGGAGAAGGTACTTGAGCCCCTGAGTGTCCTTTGCAAACTCATTCTTCTCTTTCTTTTGACAAATTACCAAATATAGTAATTTTGTACGTATGGAAAAGAATGTTTTGTTATATAATTTAAATATAAAAAAACTATTTAAATATTTTGAATATATAATGAAATAAAATATCTTTACTCACTTTAAAAAAATATATACTAAAGAGTTGAAATATAACAAAAAAACAATTACTATTAAAGAATTATCCAAACTAGCTGGATGTTTGAGAAAATCAAAAATATATAACCCAAAATGAATCATATTATTATAATTGATAGGCAGATATAATAGATTGTTACGTGATGAATATATATATTTGAAAGACGAAAAACTATTAATTCCTTCAATTTATGAGAAATAAATATTAGAAAAATAAACTGATATATTATATAGCCTGAGTCATCACAACTTGAAGCTATATTTTTTTTATTATAATCTATATATTAGTTAAATTCAAATTGGTGTACTAATTATCCTATTAATTGATATACACACTTTTTTTCTAAATATGGGAGAAAAAAGGATAAATAATTTCGATTTAAAAAAATATTTTATTTTTGCTAATATTTGTAAAATAAATTTATATCAATGATGTTTAATAATCTAAATTGTATTTTTTATATTAATAAATTTAGATTATTTGTTTAATTATCAAGTTATATTCTTTGTATTAACAATATTAATTGGTAATTATATTTATTATTTGTAAAGAAATTTATATCAAAGGTATTTTAATTAATTTATTATTTTCTTTATTCTTATAATATTTGATTAAAAATTTTAATTTACAAATTATGTGTTTTTGGTAACTCATAAGTTTCCATTTTGGATAAATCAATAGATACTATAATTACAGACTTTTGATAAATTGAACTTTTATATAAAAAAGCCTGACTTATTGGGAGTTGACCAGTATAGTATTTGAGCATATAATTAGTATCAGATTTGATCAAATTCAAAGTTGTTAAATAAATTAAATAAAATAAAAAAATATCATCAGATATATATTAACTACATATTTATATGCAATATAAGAATTAATAAACTTGTTATTATTCAAAGTATGTAAAATTAGTTGTTGATTATTCATTTATTTGTAGGAATATTCAGATTAATAGAAATTCTTATACAGATTAAAATTTTTGAATGAATGATGATCAAAACAATATGGATTTAAATGGATCACATCAAGTAAATTTGTGTAAAATTAAAGTACATATAGTAAACTATAGTATTTTAATAAAATAGAGAATAAATTATATACTGTATATATAATTAATTGATATTATTATTATTAAAATGTAATAAGTATTTTAAAAGTTTTATTAGTAAAAATTTTATTTGATTAAAAAATTTAATTGATATTTTTATTTTGAAAATTTATTGATATACTGTATATAATTTTGACAAAAATATTTGATGATTTTAATGTATATTATATAAAAAATTTATAAATATAATGTTTAAAATAAAAAAAATTTAAATTAATTGGTAAGTTAAAAAATCTTTTTTCCTTTTATTAAAAGAATAAGATTTTTCATTATTTTAATTTATATTTTCTGAAAAGGCAATAGAAAATTTTTTAAATTTAGATAAAATAGAATTTTTATTTATTAATAAAATGAAATTATCAAGTACTATTGTAAATTCATTATTAAAAATATATTTATTTTAATTATTATTATCAAATATTTTACCATTATTTATTTTATTTTTATCAATAATATTATAAATATTTGTATCAATATTTTATCAATATTTTCATAATTATTTTCTTTTGAAGCAATATTGAAAACAATAATGATATATATATTTACATATTAAAATTTTTATATCTGAATTCATTATTATAAGATTTTAAATCACAAAATTTTTCTTTATTTGAAATATGAATAGTATAATATGTTAATGGGAGAATTTCTTTTTTAAAATATTTTCAATAAAGAAATATAAGCTTTTATTTTCTTTAATTTTAAATTTATTTTATTATTAATAAAGATTTTTAAAAAAATCTAAAAAAAAAAATACTAGTTGAAATAGTTAAGAATCTAATTGAGATTATCTGAGATATGCAAATCCAAGGAATACGTATTCAGTTAATTATACTATATTTACGTGAAAAAAGTAAATGAATATCCATAGATTTATACTGTTAAAACATGGTTGAAACAATGTTGAAGTGTGGTTAGAAAAGCAATAAATTATACTACAGAGGAGCTAGTACCAAGCACATATATCTTAACATAATCACGGATATATGGTTAAAGTACCACCGAAGTACTGCCGAAGTACTGTTAAATACTTAAGATATGCTTATAAAAGCAACAAAATTCCACCTTCTCGCATTATATTCATTATCGAGATAAATATCGTAAAAATGGTTGAATGGAATGATACTCAAATAATACGTATCCTAATTGATGAGCGTAGAGATAGAAATGAAGAATATAATAATTTTGTAAGGAATCGAATCAGATATTGAGATAGCATCGCAACCAGAATTAATCAAGAACATAATACGAGCTTTTAATGGACACCAATGTAAAGAAAAATTTATTAATCCTGTTCAGATTACAATGTAAGTATGGCACCGTAAGAAATTTTTCCAGATCTTTTTTGCTTACGTCTTAGCTATTATTATTAATATTTCATGTCAATTAGTTGATATGTGATTATATGGCGGCAATCGAAGAGCACGAAGAAGCCGAACGGGTGCAAAATATTTCAATGAATTCCGTACACATTTTTGGGAGAGACCTGAAGACGATTTTGATAGAATCCGTAACATTAATAGTTCTAATCATAGATAACGTAGAATTGGGGAAATAATACACTCGCACCATTTACTGGGGAAGTTGAACATGAATAAGGTCAAACATTGCCACCCCGTGATTCAATAAACACCAATACAAACAATCCTGGTGTGGAAAATCCTGAACAAAATATTGGTCATTCTGGCTCTATCGAAACATCATCTCTTCAACCACCACCAACACCTTATGAGGCCACAGATGAAGCACGAAATAATTCTTCAGAAATGAATCAGAGCCAAGTTGTTTCTAACCGCGAAGTAGTTGTCTCTGGTAATATATCCTTGTCTCAAAATGACAGTGATGTTAGCATGATGTAGGAGATAGTCAAACATTTCTAATATGGAATCAATAAATGAAGAGGTTGGATAATATTTTTTTATTTAATAAAAATAGTACAGTTATCGTTGTATACATGGATGTGGTAATAACATGTGATTTCAGCGAAAATGCTAAATTTTTGCCAAGAAAAAATAAAGTTGCGAGACCGGCGATCCCGAAAAAATGCCTGATATGTCTAGTAATAAAATCGATTGCGTAACACAGATGTTCGATCAGGTCATTACTTCGTAATACGTAATATATATACCACATAAGAAGAAAATTGAAGATCATAGAACTTCTTATGCATGCATGATGTACGTAACTGTACGACTGCTGATTATTCCGAAATAGATTATGCAATGGTGACTTTGTCCCTATTGGTTGATTGTTATAAATATGTAATTTACCGACTATCGACAATTATTCCCACATTTTTTTGTGAAAGTATATACTATTCGTCCCACCTACTTGCAATTTTTGCTTGAAGCCAGATAATTATGTTATGTATATGGATAATTATATAAGAATAACTAATATAATCTTTTTTCCGAATATATGAGAAAAAGGGATATTGGCTCTAGAAATTTTATTTTTAATGGCTCATCGAATAGTGTTGCTTTTGATTTCTCCGGTTATTAATTACGAGGCAAAACTAAAAAATTATAGAAGAACAAATATAGGTATGTATAGGCAAGATAAAGTTCATCTTATATCTACTGCAAAGCAATGGGCTTCGCCTTACGTATAGTCAAGAACTGATATTTATGTTTTCCATTCATAGATTTGGAACGCGCGAGAAAAGGCTTACCGGCATGGTATAAGAAATAACATTTTCATAATGGGCTAAATACAGAATTCATACACTTAGTATCTGTATCAAGTATTAGAAATTTATTATATAAAATAATTATTTTTTCTTGGCAAAAGTGATCGGCATGACTTTGGTCATGCACTCATTAATTTATTTATTCAAACTTTTGAACATCCGCATCTTGTATAAAAATGGCAAACACGCAATCAAGCCGATATATTAGAAGAACAGAATTCCAAACTTCGAGGAATTAAAAAGGGAAAAGGCTGAATTCATGGCTAAGGAAGTATGTTTCAAAGCTAGAATTGTGGAATTAGAACAAATTTTGAAAGGTTATGAAACTAGATTCGTAAATCTAGAGCAGAAAGATAATGAAAAGGCTATCCATATTGCAAGAATACATGATGAAATAGAGAAATTAAAAATTCATCGGTCTGTGAAACAGATATTCTGTATCTAATACCAACCCTACCGAAATTATAAGACCTAGCCACTTCGTATCTGCCTCCTGCAATGATAACACTTTAGCATCTGATATATCTGATGGCACATCAGTACAAATATGTGGGCTTATGTCAAATTCTGATACACTTCAGGAAGATACGAAATCTCGAGTTTCTAACTCATCTTCGACTGTATCACCTATATGTGTAGAGCTTAGCCATTCTAGCTTTCCAACTAAATCATCTGAAGACACATGGAGTGAGGATGCTATCGCATCTAATGAGATTGATAATTTTCTAAATGAAGAACGTAGTGAATAGATTCGTAACAAAATAAGAGAAAGGAATCAGGAAAAGAAGCTATTACAGAGTAATAAAGCCTCCGCTTCTCAAGCCCAAAACTTATATTCGGATAGCTCGCCAATATCTCATAATGAACTACACAAACAAATTTCATAATCGCAATCTATTCCTAACACTCCCAATTTACCTGAAGAATCCTCAGAACAAAATACAGACTTACAGTAAACAAAAATCCCTGAAATAGACATACAGCCTTTGATAGAAGAATTAAGAATAAATCCTTTAGTGAAAGATACCGTTAAAGTTGTTAATGTAGATAAAAATTCTACAGTTAGGCAATCACTCGCAATCGAATTGGTCCATCTATTTGAAAAAATAAGCTTGGCAGAAAATCATAACAAATGAACCAAGATGGAAGAAATTATGAGCTGGTACCAATATAGAAA